AAAATGCCCACTACAAATTGTTGTAATAGCAGCAGCACCCCCTTTTCACAATAGATAAATGAAATGAAATAAAGAATAAAATGACTTAAGTTTGGTCACTCAACAAATCATGATACGATAAACTACTATAACCCACTAAATGGCTTTTTAGAATCTTGGTGATTCCAGGGAAAATGCAATCGCCGTCGCCATCTGAAAAACATAAATGTGGTACTCTGAACTGTGGTATTACGAACAGTGGTACTGTCTTTGTAAACTGCACAGGTAGTGTCACTCGTTGGTTGCCGTGTCTGAGTGGTATTTAGAACAAATCATATATCCAAAGAAATATTCCAAAAATAGATGACAAATAAGAATAATTGCGTTTTGCGGTAAACTAGCTACCTAAGAAGTTGTGCTTCTAAACGCTGCAATTTGTTGATATATGCCAGTATAAATATCTATACCAAATTACAGCAGGGATTTTGGCCAATGTCTCCTTTAGGATGGAGTGGAAAAAACATTAACTCATATATAATATGCATATAAGATTATGATATTCATTTATTTCAATACGCTTAAATACATTTTGGACCTTTTTGCAGTGGCTGCATCAAGAGTGCGTTGAACCACCACAGCTGCGAGACATATGTTCACTGTGTTCTCATGAATTGTGCAGTAATATTATCACCTCATTTTGATGAACTGGTGGTTCCAAAACAATTTAGCCTCTCCCATGGTGAGGATTATTGATTATAACTTGCCACTTGTCTCTTTCAAAAGGCCATTAACCCTCTTCGTATGTATGCATGCGTGTGAAAGTTGTGGTCCTTCGGTGTCCAGCTTCGCGCCGATTTGTGGAATCTATTGGAAACTCATTCCACTTCTATTTCTATACCATATATGTACAGCGCTGACGCCAATGCGGAGCACATTTTTCCAAAACACTTCATCATCACCATCATCATCATCATCATCATTATTATTATTATTATTATTATTATTATTATTATTATTATTATTATTATTATTATACTCAAACATGCATAGTGTGAAAGAAGCCACCTAAATCGTCCGGTGATGCCACCAAAGCTATTGGAAATCATAATTACGTTTTGGTGGCTTTAGTTCCTCTTTAAAGCTGATTGACAGACCTTTTATGGACATGCCTTGCCGCAGGTTTTCCGATTAAGACCTTTTGCAACTTCCCAGGTCATAAGGATTCCGTATAATAGCATAGCAGACTTGGGGTTTACGAACGGTCAGTTAGAAATGCAGATGGGGTGTTATATGGATGAAATTCTTGTTTTAGGAATAACCAGAACAGTCATTGGAGTCTCAGTTCCGTAGTCGTGACTCGGCGTGTACCAGAAGTTGACAAAATATTAATGCACGCACGCATGAGACTTAGATATTTATATAGCGAAAATACATTGGCGTGAAAGTTACCACTTTCCCTTTATCGCCAATCAAAGATATTTTTTACCAAGTTACAATCTATACACTCCTCGTGTGTTTTTAATTTTTTAGACACCATACCAGTATCTAAATGTGTACGGGGACTGGTAAATTTCACTCTTGACGGTAAAACTAGAAATTTAAGAACTCAGGAACGGGTTTCTAGATAATATCTTCTGAACAATTTTGGATTGATTTTACATATGCAGTATACTGATAAATTGAACTTGTCGAAATTATCAAGTAAATTATTATTTTACTCTATAAAGGTCCATCAAGTACTGCGTGACTTTAATTAATTTTTTAGGTTAATCTAATTAATCAAATTTCAGCTGAATATAATAATAATAATAATAATAATAATAATAATAATAATAATAATAATAATAATAATTGACTGTTAAACAGACCTTTACTCTCTTAGCTATAAAGCAATGGCACTGCATTAAGTCTAAGCGCATCCCCTGCTTTATTATTTGACATACACAACCTCACTTGCCTAGCAAGCTTTATCGTTAGGTGTAGGAGTGAAATTTATCACGTCGCTTATAAAAAAAGGTAAATTAAACAAGATGACCTTTTTGTACCAAGAACTCCAGTTAATTTATTTCATCGCTTATCGGACGTCTGGGAGCTCTCTCTTCTTTATTTACAGTCAAGGGTGAAACATTAGTTAACCTCTGTATCTAAGCTCATCTACTTTCTTCCATTGCCCTTTCATTTCAAAGCTGCTTCCGTAGTGTTTCAATCGGAAAAGAAATCCTCTTATAAGTACGAGATCTGAGGATATCGAATTTTGAACGTTTGCCATTTTGTGTTTTTGTTGATTAGACCAAGCAAAACATATGCTTTGTTGCTGTAAAAAGATTTTCCTTTCTAAACCGAATTTATTTTCATAGTAGGTACATGTAGATTTTTCTTCATTATTGGGTAAAACATGCAGACATGATAGTAAACGAAAAACAAGCAAGGTAAGTAAGGTGTTTGGATGAACGCTTTAAATTGGTAGTCTTTTTGCGGGTTGATATTTCAAGTCTTTTGAAACAGAGCCAATGCTGGGTTTGTTTAACAACCAGCTCAAATGAATAATGGCGTTTCAGCGTGCCTGGATCAAAACGCCTCTGATGTCATTTGGCACTCTATCAACAACAAGCGACACATCAGACCGAGCCCCCAGATGATCATATATATATATATATATAGAGAGAGAGAGAGAGAGAGAGCAAAGCAGCCGTGCAACAATTTGTCACCTTCAAAAAACGCCGTGTTAAATTGAGTGTTATTCCAAAGATCCGTTGACAGTTTAATCAATGTGATGAGAGGCCATAGACGAATGTAATTTACATGGAGATTCTTTTGTGCCTGAATCGCATGTTTGCATGCAAATATATGTGATGCACATTATCATCCAGACTAGTCCCCTTGAATGGTTTAATCTGCATCTTTAAACTTATAACAAGTTTAAAAAGTTAACAATACAGAACATGCTGGTGAACTTAAACTAAAATAAAACAAACACATTGTTTGGCCAGTTTGACCTTAATCCGTTCTACTTGAAAATGATACAAAACACTATTTGTGAAAGACAACGCGTTAGGCTAAGGCATTTTATCATTTCTTCTCCACTGGCAACCACGTAAGGTAAAAGTCATTTCATTTATTTATTTTACTTTATGCCGAATACAAAAAATGATCAACAAGCATCAACATGCGTTTTTTTTTAATCTCGTATTCATAATTTGAGTAATTGAGCAAACATATGTATTAGCTGGGTAGTTAGATCATACATGATAATTATTTAACGAAAACTGAAAATTATTCCAAACCGTGAGCTCGCGGCCAACATGGACGTAGGCCTTTATCAGAATTATAACTATTATTACTCACTGACCGCTGGGTCGTATAGCGGCCACGGAAGATACGGGAGGCAATCAACAGCAGCCGTCACCAGCCACTCATGAAGCTAGGGGCAGGGGGCGATATACCTGACATTTACAAGAGGGTCCTAGCAGCTGTACAACCTTGCGGCCAGCGAGTAATAAGTCAGATCAGTCTGATTAAGGTCATGTCGGTCGCAAGCTAACGGTATGAAATTAATTTCAGTTGGTGTTAAATTATATCCGTATTTAACGGTTTGAACAATATTTATAATCATAAATATTAACTTTCAAAAAGGTTAAATAAAACTGACAAGATTGTGTGAACACATTTGAGCATTTATTGCAGAATATAAATATATTCGTATGTATATATATTTGTAAACATAAATATATGTGTGCTTATCAGAAATTAGAAGACGAGAGGTTGCAAGATACAATTTTATAACAGCCGACATTTGCCCCTTTTTTTCAAGTGTCTGGTTAACTAAAGTCTAGTCCCAGTGAACAAAAACATAGCGTAGATTCATACCAAACACGTTAAATTTTGTTCCAGGGTGGTGACACGCCCCCCCTCCCTCCATAGCCTCGAACCCCCCCCCCCTCCACCCCAAACAGTGGTGTAACAAGCAAAAAACAGATCAAAAACAAATCACTGACTATCCCTTTGAGGCTTGTGGTATTATATCATATACACGAGAAAGAAAAATAAAAATATTTTGTGTGCTTCTTTGTCTTGAATCTTTCTCTTCACTCACGTTTTGTACTTGTACTGAAACTTGTATGTAAATAAGTATATACTGCAATTTCTATGATGGCTGTTTCAGGAATTAAGGGAACGGCGGGTCACTCACCCCTTATATCTTCTATATATTATAAAAAAGCCTATCCACCATTCTACCTCCCCCAAGTAGTGCTACATGTAGTATAGCAAGCTGGGCGAGACAAAACCCATTCAATTTTACCATCCGTGCGCTCCCTACATTTATAGTATTGTGTCCATTTTATGTTTTCCCAGACAGACATGGTCTTGGGTCCGCCAGAGCCTTTACCGGTAGGTGGAATATCTAGTTTAAATAAACCCACAATAAATGACAGTGTGATTAAAACTAGTATGTACAGAGCCCCATAATAGAGTGAATGATCTGTTAATGAAACTTACATGGATATGTAAATAATACAACGCGACAACGTATTGTGTTAAAGATAATGATAACAACAAATCCGTCAGAAGAAGACGGTGAAAGTTTTAAAAATACAACACGGAATAATAAGTTTACCAAATAACAATTGGAATATGTACATGTTCAACTTTATGAAAAATAACCTCCCCTTAAACCTTGCGGGTGTAAAGCTTATTGAATCCTTTTATATATTTATATTATAATCATATTATTTATATTATACCATTTTCTCTTCACGGTCCCATTAAGCTTGTCCGAGCTTTATCTCACAAACAGTTATCCATTTGGGGATTTTCCAGGTCAGCTTTCTCAAAATCTTGCAAAATCTCGTGTCTTTCATTGTCACTGTTTATGACAGTTCATGAAAAACAAATGACACATGTATAATCCAAGAAAAGATCAAGGGACAGAGTCAATGCTGGGAAAGAGTTACATTTCTCAACAGAAAAGAAGGAAGTTCTAAAATATAACTCGAGTGTCAGTAAATCTGGAGTAACGTCAGAAAACTCCATATACCAGATGGACCTTCCTATTAGCTAGTAAAGTTACAGTGCATGTGACTTTCACTAATGTTGCTAATGCAGATGACGGTTAAGTGTCTGTATCTGTTTTGAAAATAGAATTCCTGGTGAAAACCTTAGTTCCGTGTTCGCTAATTTAAGTTCACTTTATCTTGCTTGCAAGATAATCATCCGGGCACTCACAAAGAAGGGCCGCTTGTAACCACTTCAGGTGAGTTGCAAAGAAACAGGTAATCGATAACGAAGGAAAAGGCAATGGAGGTACCTGCGGCGGTAGACTTTGTAAAACTTAAGGCAGTAAAAAGACACTAAAGTACATAATTAGGCAGAAGACGCAGTCAATTAACTAATGTGTCTTTTGTGGATGCTGTCAAGTTATGTAAAAGTGACGGTGATAAATGGATGTGATAATGCATTTGATAATAACGTTAACAATCAATCTCTCAAGAACCCGACAGCGTACTGTCGGATTGATAAGACTTTGATAGCCTTTCTCATCGCATGCTGAGTTTTGTGTCTGAAGGCGTTGATGAATTAGAGGAGGGTCCTTTTCTTAACAGTTTATTAAGAAGTCCCTTGGCGGCCTTAAGGCTCGAGAAAATGCGATTTTTTTCTTTCAGAGATTTGTCTTCCTCCGCAGCGTCTCTTTTCACAATGGCGTCAACCTGCATTTCTCTCCTGTTAATTTGACTCAGCGTCCCCACTAGCAGCTCGTCAACGTGGTGATTAAGGACAGCTGATGTCTCGATAAATTTGCAGTTGAATATTGACGCCAGTTTCTTTCCAGCTACAAAAAGAAAAATTGTTATTTTAGTAAATATCCATTATATCTTTACCAAATGTATTAATAAATATAATGGATAAACAAATAGTTTACAAAGTTGATTTATAAAATACCAGATTAATTTATAACATTATCAATTTGATCGGAAGCTAGATGATACCCGCGTATGGAGTTTACGAACTCGCGACATGGCGTGGCCAAAGAAGAAATGATAACTTGAAAAAAAAAAAACGAAAACATGACACTATTTGACCCTCGGACTAGTTAGTCCCCTATTCTGAATGGGGCCAATCAGGCCCTTGACAACGGTTATGGTACGAACCATGTTTGGTCCAGTGAATTCAGTATGACTTATTGTTACTCGTACCAAAATTCAAAAACTGAAGAACATCAGGAACTTATCTGTTTTTATTGTACTAAGGATCAGAGTTTAGGTCGGAAACGTGTACAAATTAATATTGCTCTAGCCAATGTTTGAACATGATAGAATTTTCCAGTGGTTTGTTATCAACCTTCAAAACAAACAAACAAACAAACAAACAAACTAATTAAGAGCCCATCTGTGAGAGGAAGTAGGTAACATCACCCTTCAGATGTTTCTCGTCATGAAATGATGTTTGTTTGCGTGTGCGAATATCTTACTTGGAACTGAGATTTAAAAAAAGAAAGAACCATAAGAACTTTTAATGATATGAATGTCAAGGTTATATTTTAATTGGGATTTACAATAAACTCGAACATGCCCAAATACTTTTTAACAATGAAGTCTTCCAGGAAATACAGGTATCACCATCAATTTAATTTCTCACCCTCGGTAAGTAATTACCGCCACTGATAATTAATGGCCTTCATTGGTATTTGCTCAAGTATTCTTTTAATGCCACACAGTCTTCAACACTCCTTTACGGCCGCCATTTCCAGATTCCACCTACCTGTACCCTGCGATGACTTGCTTATCAGAGATATAAACGCTTCTCTAATTATCTAACTCAAATGAAATACCTGTCTCCAAGAATTACCTAACAAGGCGGATTTCTGTGAATCACAGGTTCATTATCGTTCTATTTAAGAGTGTGGTTTTTCACACAAACGTCAACCTCAAAACCAACATGACGCTTTGGTATGCAAGGATGTGATGTTGGGTGGAATATTAAAACCGGGACACCTATTGCTGGTACAGCACAATGCATTTTAATCCGTACTCAGATAAAAATAAGGCGTTTCTCACTAACAGCATCTGCCTAAACCCTTGTTATTAATCTCGCGCATATCCAACTAGCTTTTTATAACTGTCGATCCAGTGCACACTTCGTTTAAGGATTCGAGCAAGAAAATTATCTAAAGATATTGCTAGTCAATTCAAATTAGTTATTCACAGAAACTGACGACATTGTCAGTCAATTCAAATTTACATCCCTGGAGATGCTCTTAATTAATTTGAATGCATTGTTCATTGATTTAAAACACGTTATCATGTGATTGTTCCGATTTTCGAATTGATTCGAATTAAGGCATTTATGTTATTTGAAAAAACTAGATTGCCTTTTGTGTCGCTATTTTTCATCATTGCCGTTACCAATAGGTACTTGGAATTCCAACTAGGCATTGTATATAGTAGCGATTTGTAAGAAACCGGGTTTGCCGTTCTATCTGATTGGTGTATCTCTGGTGTAATTTGATTATTACTGACTGAAGTTCGATGTTATCTACAATATAACCGCAAATCGCCGTCTTAATGACACACAGCGGACGCAGGCATACATGTAGCTTTAAGTTTAACGCAGTTCACTATGAAGATAATTGTTTGTGGTTTTCTATCGATTTCTAGATAGCGCGCACACAGCTGCCTAACCAGTCAGACCATCAGATCAGCTCTGATTTGCTGAAACTGTTCTCCAACAATATCACTATGCCGCATCCGATTTTAGTGATCGAATGGATAAATGGTCCGTTACTGGGCAGATATCACACAGTAAGTAGTCCTCTTATCTGGAATAGTGTGTACCGCCTGGCTTCAATTTTGAAATTATTTGAATCAGTGGCGTGTACTTGTAGTCAACACAAACTGTTCTCAGTAACCACTGTCCGTTTCACACACTTACGCACGCACACACACACAAGCACACGCGCACAAACACAAACGCACCACACATTTTAGGTCTAGATTACGAGACAGGATCTGGGACCTGCTTCAAAGACCTATTGGCCGAAAACTGGTCTTAAACTTATGATAGCAACGTTTGTCCACTTTGCAACAAGATATAGACTGGTTGTTGTCTAAACAAAATATTGTATCATAAGAAGAGATACATGGTTATACTGGGCACTTGGTAAACTACCAAAGCCTTTATAGCCTCATCTTAAACTGAAGTAGAACAATCTCGAGGCTATAGCCGTTTTGTAAGCAGCGAACATGATTTTTCCCAGTTGCAACGGGAATAACCCCGCAAAAACTTGTTTGGTACATGAAGCAGATAATCAATCATAATAATCTCAGGATTTGTTCTGTCAGCTAAGAGGAACCGTGTTTGGTGCAGATGCACTGCGCGAGTCCGTAACTGCAACGGAGTGTATTACGGAAACTCTGGAAGGTGTTGCCTTGTGACTTTAAGGGAAACGTCATTTCTGAGGTCTGAAAATGAATTAAATGGCCATTTGAAGCCGGCTATAAACTGGATATTTATTTATTTATTTATTTGTTACGGGTAACCTAAATTTCATCTTCCCCTGTGAGGTACTTAGGTAAAAAAATCCACCAAGATAAAGAATAAAAAATACGGAAAAACAGCAATAACAAAAATAACATTCCTCATTTTCCATAAAGTTTTACTTAAAATGAGATGATTTTAAGCCTGATGCCAACGGAGCAAGTGTAGTCTTCCGCCCAATGTAATGCTTGTTACAATAGTAACGTCATTGGTGCTTTCTGCACTCTGTTCTTGACGGAGGTATAAGGTATACACCTGCAATATTCCCGTCAACACAAGGATCACATCACCCGTAACTCTTGTTAGCCACTCAAGTGATCAAAATGGGCAAAAATAACTGCAAATGATTTGAAATTATCATTTCATTTATTTTAGGCCCCAGAAAGTGACGCCCACTTTAAAATAACGGAAAATGCAGGACTTGACATATGTCACCTACCATTAATGAAGTTTCCTATATTTTTATTTGTTTTGCTATATGTGACGTAAGTTTACGGCAGCTGACGACTTTTAAGTATATTGGTTTTGTAATGTGACCTAAGCTAAATGCCTCTGTATATAAACGAACAAACCAATTACAATAAAAAAAACTACCGCATCCCTACAACTAATGATGCCTAAAGTTACAAGTTTGGAGAGGAGAAAGTAGTGGTGGCAATGAAACGAATTCTCTGGCCAGCGTTTATTTTCGATCATAAATTAAAAAAGTGAATAAGCACCTGCGTCAGCTAAAACATAACTGGGAACAACAAGTGTCGTTTACGCCAGCCCGTGGAGAATTTCCCAGGTGTTTTCAGGTGTTTTCTGGCTTACTCACGTCACGCAAATGTTGTTTCTACGTGTTCCAGTGTTGATTTCTCAACCACATAATGGCACTCTTTACTTGCTTTGCAACTGATGTGATTAATTATTAATACTAGCAAATAACGCAAACTGAGTGTACTAGAAATACACGCCAAAGGAATGTCTAGATTTTACAGATGCGATTACTGGTAATTATGGTGTTGATTGAGGGCATTTTGGAAAAAAGCAGATTAACAGATTACCCCCACCAATTAGAAGGGAAAAGGATTAGCTCATACTGTCGTGTATTTATTTGACGACAATCGAGGGCGTTTTGTTATCAGGTTCACATACATACGTATTGTAGAAGTCAGCTATGACAATATCGACTCTAGCCATACGTAATGATAACCATGTTCACTGCTTGGCATTTGAACTAATTTAGGGTAGCTCATTATAATTTGTTTTAAATTTTGTCTAATATTTTACCTTTTCAAGTTTTACAGGCAGTCACAAAGATGAACTTTTTGACACGAAGCCAATTACCTTTCCAAACGTTCGAATAAACGATCTTCAGTAAAATTTGCGAAACAAATTTAGCGGGAAAATAACCAATTCATGCCGTCGAATTTATTTAGTAGTTACTGCAAATACCAGAATTATTAACCCAAATCATTTCCTAATCATAAAATGACACCCCAGAACATTTCCTGATTGCCTGCATTAATTCAGTCGTTAAGTCATCAACCAACCAAGGTGCCCCCTTTAAAGTGTGCCGTCATACGTCAGTGAAATGGAACGTTAAGGGTGTACTGGTCTCAGTGTATCTACAGAGTGTTTCAAAATATCCATTATATATCATAACATTGCCTAAGCATTAGTATGTGTTTATTTGATGTCTATCACTTCCACCATACATCTACACGTAACCAGTTTCCTCACAGTGTGCATGTATATTCTTAAGGTGAATGGGAGGAAGCTGGACCTGGCTCCTGTTTCACACACACACACACACACACACACACACACAAAAAAAAAAAAAAAAAAAA